TAAGATGAGAGAAATATAGAACAAATTTGAGATCCAATTTGAGATTTTTCTTGGAATGTTTTCATAAGGATTTGGAATGGAATTATATCGAGTCATACATAACAAAAGGTCCTCTGTTGGTTCAAATACTGTACTTATGATAAAGGAGGTAGTGGTGCAGAGACAACTAAGAAGTTTGCCTAGAAACAACCATTCTTGAAAAAAGAATGCGCAATAAGTGACTGATCGAGCGCTCTTACGCTAGAGATGAACGGGACTAAGCGATCTTCAAAAGCTATGAAATGTAAAAATACATTGGTAGGAATTAGGATATTGGACCACATGCTTCACTGAAATCTTTCACACAATTGCTTGGCAACAACAACACAACCCAGTGGAATCCCACTATTGGGATCTTTGTGATCCCGTGGTTTTTACCTTCGATTTGCAGGGTTTTCCACGTTAAAATTTGGTGTTCTTTATCTTCTTTATTTTCGGATTTGCCTCTTCCTCGACACAACAGTGGTATCAGAGCCTTGGTTATTTATCCGGGTTATTACGGAATGGAGGCGAATATGAGTAAGATGGTATGTTTAAATGAGAGAAATTATAATGTTTGGAGAAGCAAGATGAAAGACTTGTTGTTCGTGAAGAAGATGCATCTACCCGTTTTTTCAGCTCATAAACCCGAGAGTATATCCGATGAAGATTGGGATTTCGAGCACCAACAAGTATGTGGATATATACGGCAATGGGTTGAAGATAATGTTCACAACCATATTGTGAACGAGATACATGCGAGATCATTGTGGGAAAAGCTAGAGACTCTTTATGCTTCAAAAATCGATAACAACAAATTGTTTCTGCTAAAGCAATTGACGACCTTTAAATACAAGGAAGGCAGCCCTATCCTTTATCACATAAATGATTTTCAGGGCGTCCTTGATCAGCTATCTGGAATGGGGTTAATTTTGATGATGAGATACAAGAACTTTGGCTTCTTAATACTCTGCCAGACTCTTGGGAAACTCTTCGTGTTTCTTTGACAAATTCAGCTCCTGGAGGTAAGGTGACCATGGAATATGCCAAGAGTGGTGTGTTGAACGAGGAAGTAAGGAGAAAATCGCAGGGTTCATCCTCACAAGCAGATATCTTGGTTACAGAAGACCGGGGGAGAGATAGAACAAGAGGCTCAAGGAATAGAGGTAAAAGTAGAAGTAAGTCAAGGTCCAAATACTATAATGTTACATGCAACCACTGTGGCAAGAAAGGACACATCAAAAGGTTTTGCCGCAAGTTGAATCAAGACACTAGAGAAGGAAAGAAAGTTGAAAATAACGAGAACAACGTTGCTGCTATTGTTCCAAATGACCTTATTTTTGCTTATGATGAAAACGTCATCAATTTGGTATCCCATGAGACGAGCTGGATAGTAGATTCTGGAGCTACCTCACATGTCAAACCAAGAAAAGATTTTTTCTCATCTTATACTCATGTTGATTCTGGAGTGTTAAAGATGGGCAATGCTAGTGAAGTTAAGGTGTTTGGTGTTGACACAGTTTGTTTGAAAACTAATAATGGCTCAACGTTAGTTCTTCAAGATGTGAAGCATGCTCCAGACTTCCTTTCAATTTGATCTCCGCAGGAAGATTAGACGATGAAGGTTACCATAATGCTCTCTTTAACGACCAATGGAAGCTCACCAAGGGCTCGTTAGTAGTGGCTCGAGGAGTCAAGTCTGGTCAATTATATGTGACACAAGGCTCTATTCTTAATGACTCAATAAATCTGGTGGAAAGTGATAGTTTATCAGAATTGTGGCATCGAAGATTGAGTCATATGAGTGAGAGAGGGATTACGTGTTTGGCTAAGAAAAGTTTGCTTTCTGGAGTAAAACAAGCAAAGCTGCAAAGGTGCATACATTGTTTAGCTGGCAAACAGAAAAGGGTTTCCTTTCATAGCCATCCTCCCTCAAGAAAGCCCGATTTATTAGAGCTAGTACACTCTGATTTGTGTGGTCCTTTTAAAGTAAAGTCAAAAGGTGGTGCACTTTACTTTGTGACCTTCATTGATGATCATTCTCGTAAGCTCTGGGTGTATCCTTTGAAATCTAAAGATCAAGCACTTGGCGTGTTTAAGGAATTTCAGGCCTTAGCTGAGAGACAGACGGGGAAGAAATTAAAATGTATTCGCACTGACAATGGTGGTGAATATTGTGGTCCCTTTGATAACTACTGCAAGGAACAAGGAATTCGTCATCAGAAAACTCCGCCCAAGACGCCTCAATTGAACGGTTTGGCAGAGAGGATGAATAGAACTCTAGTTGAGAGAGTTAGATGCTTACTTTCAGAGGCTAAACTTCCAAATACATTTTGGGCGGAAGCACTTAACACTGTTGCCTATGTTATCAATTTGTCTCCTGCTGTTGCTTTGGATGGTGATGTCCCAGACAGAGTTTGGTTTGCCAAAGATGTTTCTTATGATCACCTGAGAGTTTTTGGGTGTAAAGCTTGTGTGCATATTCCTAAAGATGAGAGATCGAAACTGGATGTCAAAACTAAGCAGTGCATCTTTATCGATTATGGTCAAGATGAGTTTGGGTTTATGATCCAATTGATAATAAACTTATTAGAAGTCGTGATGCAATATTCTTTGAAGACCAAACTATTGAAGATATTGACAAAGCTGAGAAGATAGATTCTCAGAGTAATGAGAGCTTAGTTGATATTGATCCAGTTTCAATTGCTAAGGCACCTATTGCACATGAAGGAACCCAAGACAATGATGGAGATAGTGATCAAGATCAAAATGATCATCATGGTGTAGATGTTATGGATGCTCCAGTTGATGAAGTTGTGGTTGATCAGCAACCAATTCCTGCACAGGTAACTACTACGAATGCTCTTGAAACCTCTCTTAGAAGATCTACAAGGGAGAAACAAAATCCATGCGCTATCCTCCTGATGAGTATGTACTTTTGACTGACATGGGAGAACCTGAGAATTATGATGAAGCCATGCAAGATAATCACAAAGATCATTGGATCGAAGCGATGGAAGATGAGATGAAGTCACTCCATGAGAATGGCACATATGAGTTAGTGAAATTGCCGAAAGGTAAGAGACCTTTATCTAACAAATGGATATTCAGAATAAAGCAAGATAACCATACCTCTGCGCCTAGATACAAGGCGAGGTTAGTTGTTACAGGTTTTGGCCAGAAGAAGGGAGTTGACTTTGATGAAATTTTCTCCCCTATTGTGAAGATGTCTTCTATTCGTGTGGTTCTAGGCTTAGCCGCAAGTCTAGATTTAGAGGTTGAGCAGATGGATGTCAAGACTGTTTTTCTTCATAGTGATTTAAATGAGGAGATTTATATGGAGCAGCTTGAGGACTTCGTCGTTAAGCTTGCAGATAAGCATGTGTTTTGCAGAAAATTGGCAGGCATGAAGCCTGTCAATTGTTCCTATACTTGAAGACACATTTGGCCCCTTGGCTGGAGGAGGAGTTTGTTGGGCACATGCCCATGTTGTCCAGCCAAAGGCCCAATGGCCTAATCCTATTCTCTTTTGGTTTCCAATCCTATTTGGAATTGGATTCGGTTTATTCCTATTTTGAATGGGTTTTGGCTTTAAGAGAAAGCACCACTCATGATCTATAAATAGGACAACCTTGGAGAATTATTCAATGCTCATTGATACAAGTCTTTGAAAGTCTTAAGCACATAAGAGTGGGTTTTGAGAGAGCTTTCATCAAGAGAGAAGAGAGAAAAAAAAGTATTTGTTTTGCTGCAGATTTTTATTCCGACCAGCCAACTTCAAATCATGTTTTCTGATTCATTTACCGTTGGATCGGGCTGAAATTTTGACTGAGTGTTCGTAACATCTTGGTCATAGATTTGAACGGTGGAGATCGGATTTGGAGGCTCGTAGCATCTGATTTCGAGCCTCGAATAACAGCTTCGTTTTGTGGATTATACTCTTTCTTCAATTGATTAGTTGTTGCTCTTGTTGCTATTGTTGCTCCGTGTTTGGCCTTTGTTGTGTAGCCAATTTAGAGAACTTTTGTAACCCTTTTATTGTTATAGTGGAGCTTTTTGGATCTTTGTGATCCCGTGGTTTTTACCTTCGATTTGAAGGGTTTTCTACGTTAAAATTTGGTGTTCTTTATCTTCTTTATTTTCGGATTTGCCTCTTCCTCGACACAACAGATCTTACCCTTACCCTGTGGAGGTAGAGAGGCTGTTAGCGAAAGACCCTCGACTCGAGAGGAAGAATAGAAACAAGTAAATATCAACAACAATGCCAAGAAAATGATACCACAATGAATGAGCCGTAAAAACAGATGGAAGAAAGCAATAGCAATGGTAATAACAACAACCAGTAAAAACGCAAGGTACTAGAAAGCCGAAGCGAAAGATAGTATAAAAGTAACCCTAATATTCGCACTCTGATAATCAATGACAAGATATTAGCAGGCTAGCCCTAATGCTTGGCACTTTCTTAAATAGTATATGCAAGTTAATCTAAAAGTTTAGAAGTTCTCAAGATTAGGGGAATAATAGCTACTAAGTAATAGCACCACAAAGGAAACAAGAGGATGAAATAACAAAATCTCCTATAACACGATGACATAATTTCCCAATTGAAATTTACAATTTTCAGAGACTATTTTTATACTGCAACTTCAAATACTTTTTAAATTAAACTCAAATATTGTCCAAACAACAACTTATATCAAATAGAACATTTATGAAAAACTATAGAAACTAGGAAAGATGAGTTATGAAAAGTACAGAATCAGACAGGGGCAGAACAATAATGCAAATACTTTGGGGGGCCAGTCAGCATAAACGTAAAATTATCAGGACAAAATTATTAATACCACTATTACTTAGTTGAAATTAAGTAGAGACAACGGCTAGTAAATCAAACGGTAACCTTCAACGGTCGAATTATTCAAAAAATACTCTACCTAAAATCAGACCCTTTCTTCTTTTTTCCATCTTCAAATTCTCCCTCCAAATCTCCTTCCTTCCACATAATCTCTGCAAATTCGTCAGCAAATTTTCGGGTACTAATAGAACAACGAGAAACAAATTTATTCTATACTCGATAAGTACCAATAATACGAGCTGAAGATGGTGCAAGAAATGTGGAATGGGCCTCCTGGTTTCAGACCAACAAAATCGGCGCCATCTTCACCGGCTAAACCTCTTGGAATTTCAAAGATTCGTTCGGAATCCTTTCATATTATTCCCAAAGTACCTGTTGGTGACACCCCTTATGTCAGAGCCAAAAATGTCCAAGTAAGCTTCTTTTACAACCTTAGAAATTGTGAGAAAGAGTGAAAAAGTTTTATTTTTTCAACTACATTTGGTAATCAACTTCTAGTTGTAGCAATTCAATGGCGGATGTCAGAAAATCCAGGGTTTAAATTTAATGGGTTCAATGTTTATGTTGATTCCTTTCATCTTGTCATTAGCCAAGGGTCTATCGGAAACAATCTCTCTACCCCAGGGTAGGGTAGGGGGTAAGGTGTGCGTACGCATTAACCTTTCCAAACCCCACTTGTGGGACCTCACTATGTTTGTTGCTATTGTTGCGTTCAACGTTTATGTTCTCGCGGTTGAATCTATAACACTATTACAATTATGGGTTTGCAACTTAGTATATGTTGAAATTTAATGATATTCTACCTAGATATTTATGCTCCATATAATCGGTTTAGTTGCCAGACCCTATTTGTGCGACTACACTGGGTCTGTTGTTGTTGTATAATCGGTTTAGTTGAACTCGTTGGAATGACATTGCATTCACCGGATGTAGTAGTATTTGGGGTAGCGGGTGTAGCTGCAACTACTGTATTCGACTCGAATTGCATATATGATGGAGCAAATTTTGTTTTCAAGAATATATTTTTAGACTAACTTTGGTCCTATTGATGTAAAATCGTAGCGAGTGCAATAGCATTAGTCTTGAATTAATGTTTTCAGGACTAATGTAATTTTGTTTTCATTAATTGCTGAATTGTTGATATTCTTCTTATAGAGATGTGGGAGATTGGGTGATCAAACAACATTGTTGAGGCACAAGTTGTACTTGATTCAACAAGGCATGGCTTTCTGTGGAGCAAGAAGCAACTAGATTATTGGTAAGTGGTACTTCTTTGGTGACAATATTTGACTTGTCACCGAGTTTTATAAAGACTTTTGACGCGTACCAAGTACTCTTAGAACAGTTGCCGCCCATCGATATTTTTGGAGAGTCCGAGCAATATAGCTTAGAACTTTAAATGTGATAATTGTTACTACTATTCTTTTTAGAACGGTCTAAAAAAGAAAAAGTGTCATAGATAATGGTATGATACTTCTTTGATTTTACTTTATACGACAGTGTTTGACTTGTCACAGAGTAAGTTGGACTTTTGACACATACCAAAGTATTCTTAGAACCTTAATGTGAAAGGTGGTATTCCTATTCTTTTTAGAATGGTCTAGAGTTTAAGATAGACTTTCGACACGTACTAAAGTACTCTAAGAACCTTAAATGTGAAAGGTGTTACTCCTATTCTTTTTAGAACGGCTGTTCATACATTACTGGTAAATGATACTTCTTTGATTTTATTATATGACAGTGTTTGACTTGTCATGAGTTCAAGAATCACTTTTGACACATACCAAAGTACTCTTAAAACCTTAAATGTGAAAGGTGTTACTCCTATTCTTTCTGGAATGGTCTAAAAAGAAAAAGAAAGTGTGAGTCATAGCGACGAGAGTACAATTTTAATACTGTTGCATTTAACATCAAGAAGTTTTTTCTATCATTTCAGGGAAATTTAGGGTGGGCATTGATGCAACAAAACAACTACATTGAAGCTGAGGATGCTTATAGGAGAGCACTAGTGATTGCACCAGACAATAACAAGATGTGCAATTTAGGCATATGTTTGATGAAACAAGGAAGAGTTAATGAGGCAAAAGATACACTTAGGAGGGTGAAACCAGCAGTGGCAGACGGGCCGAGAGGCGTGGATTCGCACCTCAAGGCCTACGAGAGAGCACAACATATGCTCCGCGACCTCGAGTCAGTGCTATTGAATAATAAAGGTGGCACTATGCTTGAACAAAGCAAGCTTTTTGATGCATTCTTGGGCTCTTCTCTCAGCCTTGCAAAGAACATAACACATTTACAAACACCAACTCATCCAAATATGCTGATGAGAACATGAATTCTAACATTATACCAAACCACAAAGAGTATGCAACCAACAGTTTCACGCGAAAACTTATTAAACACGCGTGTTCCACCATTTTATACATCCAAGATTGTAAATGAGCCGGCGAGTACTGTGTTGCCAGAAAATCTTAAGAGAACAAGGTCAGGAAATGCAGCTCACCCCATGAGAATGACTAAAGAGTCCAAAGGGACAGTCATAGAACAAGAAAATATGACGCGAAAGAAAGCAGCCAATTTCGAAGGAGAAAATAGAGGATAGATGGGCAGTGTTGTTGCCAGATAGCAAGGATTTTGAGCAAGCGATAATTGCTGCTGCTTTGAGTTCAAGTGATGAAATATTGAAGCCAGAAGGAGGAGGAAGCAAAGATACTGGAATTCTTCCAAGGAAAATTGACAAAAGATTGAAAGTTTTCCGAGATATTACCTTATCTTTGAGTCCAAGAGCCTAACACTATTGACTTTTTAACTTCTTTTAATCTAATTTTCAACTGTTAAGTTATCATAATTCATTCTTAGGTTGGAGATAAACTTCTTCTCCTTTACTCCTGCATATCCTCAAGTAGGAGAATAGTATGCAGATTGCAAGAGATTTTTCAAATAAATATTTTCTGTTCTCTTTTAGGTTTCTGTTTTACTGAGGATAGTGTCTTGGGCTTTCCAAGCAAGAAATACAGAATGTTAACAATTAATATGAAGCAGATGACCCTCTTCTCTCTTATTATTTACATTCACCTCCATTGCCTTTTAAGTGTAAGTTGGCTCCCAAATAGTCTGATGTTATAATATTATGTTAAAATAGCACGGGCTAGCCAGATTTCGGACTGGTCATCCAAAAATAGCCAGCGTTTGTCAAGTCATTGAAAAATAGCCACTATTTTGTTGCAACAGAGACCGGTCCAGCATAATATACTGGAGTTCGGTGGACCTGTGTATGAACTTCCAGCATATTATGCTGGACCGGTATACTTCTATTATACTGGAATTCCGAATTTTGAACAGTGTTTTCGTGCAGATTTATCTTTACACGAAAAGTGGCTAAATTTCGATGACTTTTGAAACTGTGACTATTTTTGAATGACCACTTGTAAATCTGGCTATTTTTGAATTTCTCCCTAATATTATCCGTCTTTTAAGGTTTATTGTCAAACACTCCAGAGCAAAGACAATTTGTTTGAACTACCACTAGTCGCTTCATTTAATGTCTCACTAATGTATCGTGTCGTATTGTTATCGTTTGATGAATATAATGTTTGGATATATTATATCATTTGTCGTTGTTTAATGATATCACGCACCAGCAATATGAAGAATAAACTTGCAATATTATAAAGAAAAATTATAATATGGGGTAAAAATATAAAAAGGTAGAGTAAATGATAAAATAAAATTATTAAAAAATATGAAGGGTGAGATGAGAGAAAAAGACAAGGTAATGACGCGACCACACCAAATCGGTCGTTACATAAAGTGGCACATTTCGTCGTTACATTTAACGATACGATACAATAAAATTTAAGTAACAATCAAAACAAATATCGTATTTAAAGTAACAATGTGATACTATTGTAAATACAATAGGTAACAACCATTCAAACAAGCTATTAATGAACAACACTTCTTTTTCTTTCTAGATCTTTTATTAGGGACTACAATATATTACTTCCCAGTTCCCAGTGACAGAATTTTTCATGCACGTCATGTGACAGTAGTTGAAACATTACATTTTCACAAAATGAGTATCGTGAAAATGCAAATATTGAGATAAATGTGCAATAACAAATTAGACATATTAAATTTTGGCACATAAAGTATAAAATAAGAGAAATTAGCCTAAATTTTTTGTTTTCAAAATTTAGACTTAAAATTTCTGATTTAAAAAAAGAAAATATTCGAATCATTTCACCATTTTCCTTTATGTTGCTGCAGATAAATTTCATGATACTGCAATTCAATGATTTGGATTTCCCATGCACATCACATGACAATGATATTGCATCTCATTAACAACTACATGTACATGGACCAATAGGAATTACAATGGAATAGTAAGTACTTCTTCATCCTTAACCAGAGTTCACGGGTTCGAGCTCTAAGTATGAAGTCGTGCGACTTCATACTTAGAGAGCATTTACCCCCTAATGTGGGATTTTCCAATATGAATTCAAATTTATTCAGCCCCAATATAGATACCGGACCGCATGAGAAACCAAAAAAAATCACATGTACATGGGCCCAGGAATGCACAAGAATCTTGTCTACTTTGGGAGCCAAATGCCAATTCTGTCAATTTGCCACTAAGACATGATTTTTCCATTCTCATCAGCTTATATTAAATGACAAATTTTGCCAATTTGTCCTACTTAAATTTAACACAATTATGGGGACAATGAGCTAAGAGTGAGAGGATAATTAATGATCATAGGCTGTAATTGACCAGTGGATCCCACATAAATTCTTAGGTGACCCCACAGAAATTCTTTTCCTGAGGGGATAGATAGTAAATATTTACTCATCAATGATCTTGATAGTAGTTGACACACAGAAATGGAAATGCAATCTATAATATCTATAGATTTAGATGGTAGGACATCACATAGGAAGTAAATAGGGATGAAGACCTACCCTCTATTAAGGGTGGCAAGTGGGCTGGTCCGGAATCGGGACAGACCAGGGTTCAAACGGGCCAAACAGGCTAAGTGGGCCGGGATTGGTAAAGGTCGACCTGGGCCGATCTTGGGCCGGTTCCTACAAAAAGACTGTTTAGCCTGGGACCGGTAAGACCGTTTATTTAGGGACCGGACCAGCCCACATGCCACTTCTACCCTCAAAGAAGTTATGTATTCTCTTAATAAAAATGATGTTTGGGTTAATCTTAATTAAATCTGTCGAATATGTACTATCTCCACCATCATATGTATCGAGTAAGCAAAACAATCTACGTACAAACTCAGTTAATTTATTAACTTTACAAAGGAGATTATTAGTATATACTAAGGTATCCATATGTATCTTTGTTGATTATGAATATTGACTTGTCATTTTTAAGGATGACATGTGTTACCACAATGTTAAAATGGAGTACAAAATTTGGTGAATTACTCAAGCTTTTATGTATGAATAAATGTAAATTAACTATGAGATTGCCAATTTGTCCTACTTAAATTCAACACAGTTATGGAGAGAATGAGCTAAGAGTGAGAGAATAATTAATGATCATAGGCTGTAATTGACTAGTTTGACCCCACATAATTTTTAGGTGACCCCACAAAAATTCTTTTCCTGAGTTAGTAATAAATATTTACTCATTAATAATCTTGATACTTGACACACAGAAATGGAAATGCAATCTTTAATATTTATGATTTAGATGGTGGGACATCTCCTAGGAAGTAAATAGGGGTGAAGATAGAGGAGAACAGAGATTGTGTGGAAGAAACAATGAAAACCTACTTTAATAACAGTGGACGGGTGTTTATGATTCGGTTTGGGTCGAGTTTTCCCAAAAAAAAAGACCAAATCAAGTAAGTCAATTTTTTTAATATTGGAAATTAAGTCAGTGTTATGAACAATAAAAGAAGAAGAAGAATATTGCAGAGAAAAGTAGGGAGAGAGAATTCTTATTGATTTTTGGGATGAATTACAATGGAATAGAACCCTCTATTTATAGGGAGAGGGTGACTTGGCTACCAAGTAATAAACCCTAGAATCTCTCTAAATATAGACATTCACCATAAATACAATTCTATTTATACCACTCCCCCTTGAATGTCTATCAACAGATAATGTGCCTCGTTAAAACCTTAACTAAAATAAAACCCAGTAGGAAAAAATTCTAGAGAAGGAAAAATAGTACACATATCTAACAATACGTCTTTTGGTTGCCTCGTTAAAAACCTTATAAGGAAAACCCAGTGGGACAAAACCTTGTAAGGGAAAAAGAGTACAACGCGTATTAACTCCCCCTCATGAGAGCATCACTTCACATCCTTAAGCATTTGCATTCCAATCTTGTGCACCATCTTCAAAAGATCTTTGGTAGAGATTTGATGAACAAATCTGCCATATTAACTTGAATGAATATATTGCACTTTGAAATCACCATTCTTGATAGAGATGGATTGTCTTCATATGATCTTGTTGGAATCGTCAGTTCAATATCTTCACATAGAGGTGAAAACTCTTGCTATCATATTATCATGCATATAGTTATAGCAAGATACATTCGTGCACAAATTGCATTGAGGATGTAGTACTTCATGACCATGAATTCTATATTCTTTAAGCAATTTAAATCCTTCAGGGATTGTTAAGTCATATAAGCCAAATAAATAGACTTTAGATGCATATCAAGTTTTCATGTCATGCTAGACATATAAGATATCGAAAACTGATTGCACATACCATTGACTTATACTTTAAAGTGTTTGAACTACATGTTCAAAACTACATGGCTTTCATATGAAACCAATTCTATTTGAATTATTTCTTCAGACTTAAGATCCTCATATATATATTTAGCGCTATCATAGATGTCGTCGACAAACATTTTATATCAGTTTCAATATTTTTTCATAAAGACATAACATAAAGATCTCTTCATTCATATTTTCAGGTACCTGAATCTCTCTTGAGATTTTATGAAGTGTTATGTCATGTGATCTTCTAGATCACTTGCCTCCTTTATTATGATCATTTTGATCATTTGCTCATCTTCTTTATCAAGAAGTTTATTTGAAACCGATTTGTCTATATGCTTTAAGCGTACTATAGACTTTGTCCTTCTAGGACTTATTCTAATAGGAGCATTTGCAATGAGAATATAGTTACTTTCTTTGGGTCAGCAAATGCGTCTGGCATGCTTTGCAATAAATTGCACATGAATTATCCTTTTATGAACTTCAAGTTCATATTATTTTATTCGGGGATCTAGATGTATAAATGATAATTCATTCCATGTAACTTTTTCTCAACTGTTGTATCTTGTCTCCCCCTCATGTTAGAAAAACTAACTTGTTACCTCAACTTTGAGAATCCACCTTTGTGCGTTATGGTGTTAATCAAAATATACACCGCACATCGATAATAATAAGATGGAATTATCTGGTTCCTGACCCCGAACCACTTGTGAGGGGAGAATGTAATATACTTTCGTATATAACCTATATCAAACTGATATAGATAACTTTATTCTCATAAGCAATTGTTTAGCTATTAAGTAGAGGCACTTAATAAATCATTTTGCTAAACCAACTGTGATGTAAACCAACTTATCAAGATGAACTTCTTGAATAGAAAATCTGGAAATTATGCTCAAAATTAAATTATTGAGCAAGTTACCTCGCAAAACACCATGTTGCGGGTTATTAATAATCGCACATGTAACCATCTCATAGATGCATCTTATGTGGTATACATGGCTGGTGAATGGGCCCATATTCACCTTTGATATTTCCAGCATTCATGGGATTCAATCCCAATTTTAGTTGATCAATTAATTAATGAGAACAAGCAATATAAGAGAGTTCGTAAAGAACTTTCTAGTTCTTTAATATTTACCCATGTGAATTCTCTTTTATTTTTTGCACATCATACTTAAATTGATATGGGTAAACCAATTATGCTAACTGAATAAATTATCAATATTGATAAAGTTCAGGTTTACACCATGATGTGTGCAAGTATAAATAAACTCCAAGTT